CCCCAAAACCCCAAAACCCCAAAACCCCAAAACCCCAAATCTATATGAAGGGAACAAATGTTGGTGTATAATATAAATATTAAATGAAATCTGAACTTATTGATAAAAATAATTGTACTGGACTGAAGAGTAAAGCTACTGGACTTGAGAACTTGGGGGTATGCCCGGGCACACTTAGTAACAGTGCTAAACCAAGGTCAAAGAGATTCAAGCTCGACTTAAAGATTATGAAAAAGTGGAAAAGCGGAGATATTCAGAAGAAATTTAAACTTGAAGATCACTATGATGCTATTAAAACATTAGGATCAGGCACTTATGCAACAGTTAGCCTTGCCACTTGTTTGAATGATAATAAACAAGTTGCTGTTAAGATATCAAGAGGTGCAAACTCTTGTGAAAAATTAGCCAGTGAGTACAAAATCCTTTCTGAACTTGACCATGAGTGTATCATCAAACCACTCAAGTTCATCAGAAGCGAGATGATGCAAGAAGCCTATCTTGTCCTGGAGTATTTTGAAGGCACCGATCTTAAAGAATTCGTTCAAAAAAATGGTCCACTTTCAGTTGGAGACGCTCTTAAAGTATTGAAGCAATTGGCTTCGTGAGTTGCCTATTTACACAGTAAAGGTGTCGCCCACAGAGACATTAAGCCAGAAAATATTTTAATCGATGCGGATCTAAACATCAAGCTGATCGATTTTAATATCTCCAAAAAGATGAAGTCTGGCCGCACCAAAGATGGGTGAAAATTCAGCACAATATTCTACACCCAAATATCATCACCTCTGTATGCCGCTCCAGAAATCAAAGAAAATCTGCTGTATACAGAGAGCGTCGATATCTGGGGTATCGGCATCATTATGTTCACTTGCATTTACGGATACCCAAAATCTAAAAAGGATTTCGGCAAGAATTTCAGCAAGATTTTGATGAAAGAAAAAATTAGTTCAGATATATTCGTCAACAAGAAAGTCAGAGACTTTCTTGTTAATTTATTGTGCGATGATCCCCAGCGTAGACTCACAGCCGATGAAATCATGGCTGACGAATATATTATGTCCCTTGTATTTTAAAATTTTCCTAAAATAATCCTTCATTTCTATAAATTCATTAGCTAACTTTGGAAGTGGGAATGGGAAAAATTACTACCAAAAGGGCAGAAGGGTCAGACTTTGAGATTAGGATATCTCTTAATTCCTTTTAAGAATACTTTTATCTCTCCACATTGGATGAAGAGGTCAAAGGCTACTTCGCCAAATTTTGTATAATTCCTGATATATCACTAAAGGGATAAATTAAGCATGCTAAATTTACTGTATAATAAATCTTCAGTATCTATTAATATTCATAATTATTATACAGCCCTGGTAGCTTTTCTTAACAGAGGTTTCACCAGATTATGTCTTTCTGCAATTTAAAAATTTAGCCAAAAAGCAAGCATTGGCTGACCAATTGGATGACTAGTACTACACTCAAGCTTGGATGGACAAATTTTCAGTATCTGAACCTCATTGCTTTCTTTCAAGGGTTTATTCATAAATTCTGGTCTTAACTTGGACCAAATTAGTTGACGTACTCTACTAACTGAGAAGCCCATGCCCTTGATAATGGAGCCGAAGGGCTATTACAACACCATGAAGCTATTTGAGTCAGATTTCGGCGAATTAGGGGTTCTAATTAGGTGAAGGATTGCAGACCATTTGGCTTTGATTAGTAATTTAAGAAATTTAAAACTCCCATTCCGAACTCTCCTCTCTAACCCCATCTTTTCTCCCAGAGCCACTGCTTCGCCTTAAAATTCCCGTCTGTTCAAGACAGAAGCTGAGCTCTGTTAAAATTTAGTAGAAATTATAGGCTAAGAGAGGAAAGAGTGAAATTTAACTGGGGAGGATTTTTGGTAGGCCAGTGGTCTGGGCTACCAACCAATAACTTTTTACTTTTCTAAAGACACTAAAATTCCCAACCCACAAAAATTAATTTCTTCTAAAACAACACTTCTAACCCCAATGCTACCAATAATCCCCTCTCCCCACAGTCCTTCTCATCCTTCCACCCAGTAACGCCACTGGCCAAAAATTCCCACTGTGTTCTAAATTTTTTACTCCTTATAAAAAACTAGCTGGTGGTCTCTACCTAGTACACTTTTAAATTATTTGAAGTGATTTTAGTCGTAATGCTGGCTTAAGGGAGTGGAAATTGGAGGGGAATTATAGTCTTTGGAATAGCAGGAATTTGAGGAGTATAGCTTGAAAAAGAGAGACTTTGAGTATCCTAAGTGGGTTGTATTAGGGTTAAATTGATAAATAATTAATAGGAAAGAAATAGGAGCTGTATCGTTTTAGATAATTTTTTTGAGAATATTCTTCTATGCTAAAGTCTTAATTATCTAAATATAAGGTAGATTTTAAAATGACAGCTTTCCTGGCAATTTATCAAAACTTATTAACATTTTGGTGGATCCTTGAGCTTGATTGCCTTTAAATAATAATATTAAGCTAAAAGTTAAATTTGAGGATTTCATCTGTCATTTTGGATATAAAGTTCAGTGATATAAAAAGAAGCGAATAAAAGGAAAGCATACCTCATTAAACTTAACGCTTTCATAAAAATATCCAAGTCTAAGGATTTCAGTCTACTATGCTTTTATACTTTTTATGCTTAAAATGATTAATAATTCCACTCTAATTCAAAGAAGATATTGACAAATTATCTAAAAATTACATTATCATATGAAATAATTTATAACTCTAGGATAAAGACTTAATTTAGCAATAAATCTTAGATTTTTTCAGATAAAATTCTAATTAAAACCTTTCCCCAAAACCTGGCTATCTTTATACCCCTACAAAATGGCTCCAACAAATTTCTCCCCCACTGTTGTACCACCACAGTAATCTACCCCATCTCCTCTTCTCTTCCCTCCTCTTCTACCTTAATTCCCTCCAACCCCCTCAAACTTCATCCCTACCACCAAAAGTCGCCTTCAAGACCCCTTTCCCACTCAAATCTCCTTCTTTCATAGCCTAAAATCCCAATACAAAGTTCAAATTTTCAATCTGTTTCCTACTCAAAGGGGTTTTGGGGTTTTGGGGTTTTGGGGTTTTGGGG